GATGTTTTTGTTTTCTTTCAGATTGATGCAGCCATTGTGCGAATTATGAAGACGAGAAAGACTCTAAGTCATAATCTATTAGTATCTGAAGTCTACAATCAACTTAAATTTCCTGTGAAGGTATATCAATACGTCCAAAGTAAATACATTACCTATATATTGCATGGAGGCGATAATGTAAAATCTGTACCAGGCCTCTCTTAACTGTATACATTTCTTCGTGATTTGCACACATAACGGACGGTGATTTGGATCATGATCAACTTTGCCGTTTGCGTAGAAAGTTGTCGAACGTAAATCCAGTCCCAATATATTCCTAATATAAAGGTTTTGATCAAATATCAGGACTGATTTGAAATCATTAATCCAGAATATGGGATTCATATCAAGCGGGTATACTGCAACCAGCTGCTGAGCTTTCGTGAATTCATATTTGGTGAACATTTTTATCTATAAGTACATATATTTGTTATAATTGATAGATGGGTACTATATACGGACATTTTCACAGAAGGGAAGTTCTTAAAAATGCTAGAGAATTTGTTGGATTTCACGTTGGTGAAATAGTGCCAACCCATCCTGTAATGTGACATATTCTTTTCCTTTAACTTTATTAGCCTGCTGATTTAAAGAAACGGATCGAAAGTTTAATTGAGCGAGATTACATGGAAAGAGACAAGGAGATACAAAACCAATACCATTATGTTGCATAATTTATGAAGTTCTAATGCAGTAAGTATGGTTCTCCTTTGTCTTTTTGGAGTTACAGTATTGTGCATTTTAACCGAAATCGTCGTTTGTTTTGTTTTTGTTTCAAGTTGCCTATCATCGGTGTGACGTATTTGTCAATAAATTACTGCCTCCAATATTGCTTTAAATTTCTAATCAAAATATCCAAGTATATATTAAAATATATTATTAACCAGATAAATCTGATAAAGTCAATATAGGCATGACCTAAAATGTATTCTGCATGCTTATTTGGTTTATAGAATATGGTTAATATTATACACTTGGTTGGTACTTAAAATTTACCATTCGCCATAGAATTTTTAGTTCTAACATTCACAAAGGTAATTTTCCCATTTATCATCATGATACGTTGTTATACAAAATAGAACCAGTTGTGCATGCTAGTGATTATTATTGGGATGCCAAATGGGTTATCCCAAGTAGAGAATTCTGCAGCCTATAAACAGTTACTTCCTCTTCATTAATTGTAGTTTTGATTGAAATTTAAAAGAATGTGAATTTTCTATCATAAATTATATGCTGGGATGTTTCATGCATGTGTTTCTTTCCACATCCTAGTTTCGATTGTCTGAAGAAATATAACATCCAATTGTTCTCGTGATTTCACATTCTCATCTTGGGTAAATTTAATAAACATTTTATCAGCATAATTATGTTATTAAATATTTAGACTTCGCTCGCAAGTCATTTTATGGAATACCTGTCGTTCGAGTTGACAACCTGGCGATGGATTTTGATGTATGCAAGAGTCGGATACACTGTACCAAACTGTCGTTTACGTAGTCTTCCTGGGACAAGTTTGTGGTTGGAATGACAATATGCAACGAGTGTATATAACGCAAGCTGGAAAACAGTCAGGCTTGCATGTATGTAACGTTAGAAACTTGTAATCAAGTTCTATTTTGTAGATGTAGAATAAGTAAGGTACAAACTGGTACAACTATTTGTGTGTGTACAATAAATGGAAATGATCTAAAAGCAGTTGTATAATAACAGTTTCGAGTAAAATGTCCAAAATTTCGATAGAGTTTTTATCAACACGGAAGTCACCCGAAAAATTGTACACCAATATCAGTGTTTTGCTCTTTTCCAATACCAGTGTTTTGGTTTATACCAATACCAGTGTTTTGGTTTGTACCAATACCAGTGTTTTGCTCTGTACCAATACCAGTGTTTTGGTTTATACCAATACCAGTGTTTTGGTTTATACCAATACCAGTGTTTTGGTTTATACCAATACCAATGTTTTGGTTTATACCAATACCAGTGTTTTGGTTTATACCAATACCAGTGTTTTGGTTTATACCAATACCAGTGTTTTGGTTTATACCAATACCAGTGTTTTGCTCTATACCAATACCAGTGTTTTGCTCTTTTCCAATACCAGTGTTTTGGTTTATACCAATATCAGTGTTTTGCTCTATACCAATACTAGTGTTTTGGTTTATACCAATACCAGTGTTTTGGTTTATACCAATACCAGTGTTTTGCTCTATACCAATATCAGTGTTTTGCTCTATACCAATACCAGTGTTTTGGTTTATACCAATATCAGTGTTTTGCTCTATACCAATACCAGTGTTTTGCTCTATACCAATACCAGTGTTTTGGTTTATACCAATATCAGTGTTTTGCTCTATACCAATACCAGTGTTTTGGTTTATACCAATATCAGTGTTTTGCTCTATACCAATACCAGTGTTTTGCTCTATACCAATACCAGTGTTTTGCTCTATACCAATATCAGTGTTTTGCGCTATACCAATACCAGTGTTTTGCTCTATACCAATACCAGTGTTTTGCTCTATACCAATGCCAGTGTTTTGGTTTATACCAATACCAGTGTTTTGCTCTATACCAATACCAGTGTTTTGGTTTATACCAATACCAGTGTTTTGGTTTATACCAATATCAGTGTTTTGCTCTATACCAATACTAGTGTTTTGGTTTATACCAATACCAGTGTTTTGGTTTATACCAATACCAGTATTTTGCTCTATACCAATATCAGTGTTTTGCTCTATACCAATACCAGTGTTTTGGTTTATACCAATATCAGTGTTTTGCTCTATACCAATACCAGTGTTTTGCTCTATACCAATACCAGTGTTTTGGTTTATACCAATATCAGTGTTTTGCTCTATACCAATACCAGTGTTTTGGTTTATACCAATATCAGTGTTTTGCTCTATACCAATACCAGTGTTTTGCTCTATACCAATACCAGTGTTTTGCTCTATACCAATATCAGTGTTTTGCGCTATACCAATACCAGTGTTTTGCTCTATACCAATACCAGTGTTTTGCTCTATACCAATACCAGTGTTTTGGTTTATACCAATACCAGTGTTTTGCTCTATACCAATATCAGTGTTTTGCTCTATACCAATACCAGTGTTTTGGTTTATACCAATACCAGTGTTTTGGTTTATACCAATACCAGTGTTTTGGTTTATACCAATATCAGTGTTTTGCTCTATACCAATACCAGTGTTTTGGTTTATACCAATACCAGTGTTTTGGTTTATACCAATGCCAGTGTTTTGGTTTATACCAATACCAGTGTTTTGCTTTATACCAATACCAGTGTTTTGCTCTATACCAATGCCAGTTTTTTGCTTTATACCAATACCAGCGTTTTGCTTTATACCAATAGCTAGCCTCCTCCGCAGGCAACTGTGTAGTTCTGCAACGTTATTAAAAGATTTATCAGGAACGTAGAAAATACAAGGAAATAGTTCTGAAATACGATATTATATTAATAAGAAGCGTAAATTAAAAAGGCCTGGAGCGGAAAAATAGGGAGGCTTGTGGATAATGTAGGAAGTAATGGGGTTTCTTGTTTATTAATATATAATATCGTATTTCAGAACTATTTCCTTGTATTTTCTACGTTCCTGATAAATCTTTTAATAACGTTGCAGAACTACACAGTTGCCTGCGGAGGAGGTTAACCAATACCAGTGTTTTACCAATATCAATATGGAACTTATTTTTCAAAACATCAAACAACATACTGTAGCTATATCACAATTTGAATTTCTTTTTGAATTGTATGCCGTCGAGTTTTCCAACCTTTATTCTATGTTGACAATGAAATAGTACAACTTAAAATTTAGCCGCGACAAAGGAAACATGTAAACGATTTGTTTCAATGAACCAACTCCCAACAATATAAGACCGTTTGTTAATGTGCAGGTGTACATATTTTCTGCATGGTTTAAGTTATTTGTGTTTGGACATTTATTGTCTTGCTAAGAAGTTTTACAGTCACTATGAATGAAGTCTTTGACAATTTAAAACAGCTTAGACTATAAAAACGATTTCTTAGATTATAACTAGCGTTGCATGTAGTCCATATTATGTCTTGATTGGACATGTGTGTTTTAAATGGCGTGATATCGTGGGTATTGGATGATCCGTGTTACTGTTTTGCGCAGTCAATTATCTTTGTTTCGATGAAATCAGATCCGATGGACGCCATTTCGGACTCAAAAGCCTGCGTTCCTTTTGGCCAACGGATGCATGTCACTTGACTGAAGACACACCAATTCTGGCGCTTATATCCTTATGCTTTGCTAACGAACATACATGTAGGGATATGACCGTGATTATAGGGTGATGATTAAACAGAAAGATATTCGTCCGGGAAACATGAGGATATTACGCATCATGGCAAATGCTTTTGATTGCGGTAATATAGACTCTTGCTAACATTTCTTCAGTCTAAGGGATTTTTTCGGCCGACTCTGAAAGTGAATAAAACTGCAAGTTAACCGCAAAGTTTGATGATAACACTTATCATTGATATTGGTCAATACAATAGACTGAAAAATTTTGTAAACCAGCGTGTAATCTGCGAGCAGGAATGCATGCAGACATATTAAAATTAACTTACACAAAGAGTATCTAATTATTCAATATTTTGTATTCCAGCATACAAAACACACGCTCTATTCAATTCGCGTTCCGCAACAACTCACAAGCCATTGAGAAGATATGTTGAAACAAATTCCACTTGTGTTGTCTGCTTGTTTGCATTAATTACGACCAATTTCTAGGCCGTTCTTATTCCCTCGAACGGCGGGGTGCAATGCAAAAATTCTTTAACATTTATGTGGGCTCAACTTTGGTTGTGATTTACACTCAGGAGTCTTGGTCGTATTGAAAGATAACTATATAGTTTGGAAATCAAGATCAATTGACGTTTACACATCATTCAGTGCTATTGGCACACAGTATCGAAAATGGAGTGGTTGGCAATATTTTTCTTTACGTTTGTTCTTCAGTTCAGCGGGATTGAAGGTGAGGTTATACTGGTACACGTAGACTACATGTTGCCGCTATACAAATTGTCAAATCAAACTGTCTGTATAAGCCCTGTGGCTGTGAATTAAAGACTATAATGTTTATTGCTAATATTAGTCTGTAGTCAAGAATTGCTTCATAGACATAGCAGTTGTTCGAATCAAATCTTCATGTAAATTGAAGTTTTTACTAAAGGTACACATACGTGCGTGCTGATGTACAGAATTAAAGACTATATCAGTTATTACACTATATTAGTCGCGAATTCATAGTGACCATAGTCCAATCCAGATCTGAATTTAATGACAAATGTATCAGTTTTTCCAAGAGTCTGGTATAAATACGTGATATATGTCCAGATATAAAGTATATTTCGAAACTATGAAACTGACTGAAGCACATAATTAATCCATTCTCGTACGACGCAGTCCTAGACACTCGATCATCCCTGCAATTCACCAACGTTAGCGTGTATGACATATTTGAACTTAAACTGTTTGTTATCATCGATTAAAATATATATTGGGCCACCAAGTAAATATCACGCATAATAATCTCGAGCCGGAATTTTCTTTGTATTATTAATTACTATACACCCACTTTAGTAAAAGTATATATAATTTTTTTTTGGTTCCTCCATTGAAATCGTAAATGTTGCACCTAATATATAAAGTGAAATTTTTAAAAATAATATTTGTGCTAATCATATGAGTATGCATGCAGGTTACAATATCAATTGAGAGTCAGGTGCAGATCGGGTAAAATGGGAGCTTGGATTTAATTTGCCTCTCAATTTTAATATTGTTTGCATAACTTTGAATGTTAGAGCATGCAGTTATTGTACAACTTTGCATTTATTTTCGGAAATGTGACTTTTAATTAATATTAATTGTTCAATTATGCTACAGTTTAGTCAAATGTAGAGGTGTCAAACGTAGAGGTGTACATTACTATAAAAGCGGTGATTTCAGAAAAGGTACAAGTAGCAGATGATCATGCACAAAAATTAAATAACTAATCAGAAAAATAAATAACCAATTATCAGCTCAGAAGCTACTGAAAGTATATCCACCGTATAATATGATATACAAACGTTATTGCCGTATTGGTCATTGAATTCAAGTTATCCACTATTCCTGAGATGTTAATTAGTTGATCGTTTAGACCTTTTACACTTGTACCGGATAAGTTTGCGTAGCGACGTTAAAAAACACATATCCGTACCTTTTAGAAACGATTTGGACATTTGCTTCGATCTTAGTATTAGACATTGTGTTTCCAGTCTACTACTGCCAGTTACTACTAGTGATTTTACACTAATTTCTTCTATTATTTCAGGAGCTCGATATGATATTGATGACCCAGCTGGTAAGTACTAAACAAGCCAATCACATTTGGCGTAAAGTACTATAGCTATATATACGGTATAACAACACTTTCAGTACTTGGCTCAATCAAAATAACTAATTCAACACTAGTATATATATATATATATATATATACTTGATAATGGATCAGTTCAGAAACCAGACATAGTACGCACCACATGCAGTGCGATACCCGGGGCATGCGCAAATTAAACAAGTCGGTCACAAGCGCGAAGATATATTATTTTTGAATAAATACCAAACCCAACGCTTGTGATTCCGAACAAACCACACTGACTGACTAAACTCACGCAGCGAATATAAAGCGATGCCTAACTTTGTTACGGCACCGCAATTATTGGACACTTTAGTTCACTATAGTTGCGAGAACGCGTATCTTAATAACCAGGCCAGTGCTTTTTCAAGCCGTAGGGTAATTATCTAACACCACCACGATTACTGGAGGACGTGCTTTTATCTTTCGTGAGTCAATTTTTTCATGCCGAGCACGTCCTCCAGTAATATGTATAGCTACCTCTATGTATAGCTCAGTGAACACCACTAGGTCCCAATTTCCCCAATGGCCAATAGAGGATGATATATTTGCGCTAGAAAACGTGTTTTGTGAAAAATTTAATTGGTAAGCATTACGCCATGTAAAAAAATATCCCGGTTTATCATCAGCGCCCTCATTTTTATTTTTAAAAAAATTACTATTTCCAGCGGACCGTGCGAGGAACCCACGCGAGATTTTCACGATGGTTGGCCATTTTGAAAACACGAGTTCATATTGCCACAACGTGTGTGATATTGCGCTTGGGCCTTGGCAATTGTAGTATTAATGAAAAGTGTAATAGCATTGAAAATATTATATCATTCAACTGTGCTGCGTGTTTGAGCATATTTTTTCCGTGCACCTACTAAATGTGATTCGGTAAAAATTAAAAAAAATCCGCCCGCCCGCACGGGTTTTTTCTGCTGCCACTGATGATAATAAACAGGGATATATTTTTACATGCCTAACTACCGCGTCAGTCAATATGGATAATCCTAAGTTTTTCATTGCTAAGGAAGTCATTGCTACTACTAGTTATACAATTTAAAGTGTGCTTAATATATTTTTGTTTTTAAAAATGTAGGAGCAATCTCCGTCCTCCTTTTGGTTCTCGCAATTATCGTCTGCTTCGTTTCTCTCATGTTCTTCTTCTATATTGTTTATCAATTATGGCATGGGAAGTTTGGCCGCCGTTATCGCAGGAGGTTAGAGAATAAAAATCTATCTAATTTAGGTTCCCTGCATGAGAACCACTGGCCAGTGAAAACCTAGGCTCGATTCCATCCTCATTTACATTCCGTCCTCATTTACATTCCATCCTGATTTACATTCCGTCCTCATGATTAAACTTTTAACTTCGATTTTCTCGGCTAAAAGTAAAACGAACCATACTGCCGAAAAATAGTTAGTATTTGATTGCCGAGATGGATTTGTATTTTAAGTATATTACATGCAAGTAGTAGGTTTGTAAGGGGTTTTTAGCATATGGCTATGTAAATGGTGTTAGTGCATGGAAGCTTGTATGCATGATCTTTCTGAGAACAGGGCCGCCCAGAGGTTGGCGGGGGCCCGGGGCAAATTTTGTTTAGGGGCCCCTATCTAAAAATATTTTCCCGGAAGAATTTTTTTCAGGATAACAACCTCCCCCTCCCCCCCCCGTCGCCCAAAAATTTTCGGTCAGTGTACCATTTTAGGGGTAAAAAAATTTTTCCGGAGTACAAAATTTTGCCGGACGAGTACGTTGCAATTGCTTTCCAGGGACTTGATCTCATTTTTTTATGCCAAAATTCGGTACTTAGCCCAAGAAAACAGATATCTTGTCCTTTGCGCCGAAATATTTAACACACAAAAAAGGCTGGGGCCCTACAAAAAATTTTCAGGGGCCCCCAGCAACTTGGGGCCCTGGGCGGCCCTGATCCAAAGGGGGGTGTGTGTGATACAGGGGCCCCCAGCAACTCTGGGCGGCCCTGATCCAAAGGGGGGGGGGGTGATACAAATAAAAAAATGAAGTTTAATATGACTTAAAATTATTAAGCAATTGAGTGCACCAGCACTTTCCCCTTAACAAGTAAAATTATCTGGTATTGGACTAAGACAACAAAGTAGGGCAGGTTTAAATGATGAATTTTTTGAAAGTGCCAGAGTGCAGGGTACTGAAAAGGTAGGTTGTGCACATGCATCCTAAATAAATACTGCTACAAAAACCTGGTAGTTAACAGTTAAAAGTTAAAACCAATCACGGATTTCATTATTTCAAAGTATATAAAACAAAACAAGTCGGGAAAATGATTTTGAACCCAAGATATGAGACAAAATTACAGTATGAGAATGAGTTTGAATATAAAGAACAACAAAAAAGAGGATACAAAACTACTGTGATATTGTTGAAATTAGCAATATTACATTTACACATTTGCTGTTTATAACGGTAGTTTTTGACATAATGTATTTATGCTTTTCCATCGAAATGGCAAGCCAAATTTGCCCCAAGCAGCCCAAGCTTTAGCCCCAAGCTTTGGTAAGCTAGAATTTAAAAAAAGTAAAAGAAATAAAACTTTCGTGAATCTTACCTGAAAACAAGAAATATAATAATCCTCTCGAGTGAATTGTTTCATCTACAAGCAGACTATACTGTAAACTTAAAACTAACACACTTTTTCCTCGACTGCAAAAATATCAAGATTTTCAGTCGAAACTCGAAAATTATGATCAAAATTTGTGCAAAAACCAGGGGGGTGAAGGATTTTATTTCAAGCGTAGGATCGCGGTTGGTCAGTGGTAATTGCCATGAGCCGGAGGAACCAATTGGCGTCAGCAAACATGAAAATCCGCCATGTTTTTGGCGACACTTTTTTGACTGACGAGAGATAGGAGCACCTCCTCCAGTAATAT